ATTTGGAAGAGCTAAATTAGTGGTCAGGTCACTACCAGTAACTTTGGCCCTCATGATTTTAAAAGGGCACGAAACCCAGAGGATTCATGGAACGCAGCATTTCTCTAAAAAATATCAAAGGTCATTGCAAACATGGGCTTTTATGCTAGGACTCAGATTGTTAACAAATTTAAGGGCAAATCTAAAACTAGAATGTACTTTGTAATTCCTTTCCTAGTAAAAGCACAGAACTGGTCATAGGAAAAGACATGCAGATCTGGATGTTTTTGTAAATACAATAATTTCAGTCATTTTTTAGGCATAAAATGTTTGTATTCTTTTTTCAATACCATGCATTGCCAAAGATGATAGATTTTTCACAAAGAAAAGCAATTGCTTTTTGACACAGACCAGTACTGGCATAGTTTGAATTTAAACATTATTCACAAAGTTTGAATGTATTTTGTTTTAAAATGTGTGAGTAATTGTAGCACCATGCTAATTCATTCCCTTCAGCAGATTTTTTTGGGGGAGGAGGTAATATTCTGAAGTAACAGGAATAAATTAAATAATATGATTAATAAATTGTGTAATTTATTAGTTAGAACCTTATTTTTTCTGCATTTCAACAGTTTTAAAAACAATCTTTTCTATATAAGCCAGTTTAACTCAAACACAGACTGCAGTTTAAATATTAAGATATCATTGGTCATGATCCTGCCCACACAGGTTTGATTTACTCTTTATCAATGGTTACATGTTCTGTAGAGTGTTTGCTGCCCTCAGCAGACTTTATTTTTATTCATATAACTGAGATCTCTAACACATAATTACTCTTCCTCTTGTTTTTCTTTTGTTTTTCTTTTTTTTCTAGATTGAATGCTCAAGTATATCTGACTACTCAGAAAAAATTATCAAGGCCAACCACTTGGACAACAGTAAGGCATATATAAAAAAGACAAGATAACTGTTTAACTTTTTCCGATTAGTTTGTGTGGTTTATATGTAAATGGTAGTTTTGCATAGTTTACGTATGTAAATACAAAACTAAACACCCCATTCTAGGCAATACAATTCCATACAGGAGAAGTTACTTCTACATTTACTTCTAGGCTCACAAATGGAAGCAAATAGAACTCATCAGCGGGCAGTTTGATTTAGCAAAGCAGACAGAAAGGCCCCATATTAGACCTGAACTTTTCAAATTCTGCCATTTGAATTCCACCTTATCTCTTAACTAGAATCACAGACACACACATTCAAATTGAAATAAGGTTCAAAGCAAAAAATATTCCATATCAATATGGATTTTTCACTAAGAGTTTTTTCTGACTTCCAACTTTAAAATTGTTTGGGTTTTTTTTTTTTAAGTTGAAACAGACACACACACAGATGAATATGTCCAATTCTCAGAATAACAGTATCATAGAAGACTTTTTTTTTTCTTGAAAGGAAAACTTGTTGAAATTTCCAGGGATGTGAAAACACTTCAATTAAAAAAAATACTAAAAATACCCCTAACTTACTGAAAATGCTTAACAAAAAATAATCTCCAGCAGGCTCTATTTCATGTCTTCAGTCCTCCTCCAAATCACTGCACACAAGATATCTTTGTAACAACCTAATAAATCAGGCTTTCTTTAGCTGAGGCTGTGAGAGAGTTCTTGTTTAGGAGGGCTCTTTGTGAAGAGCTTGCCTTCGCTGCAGAGCAGCCTAGGTCATAGCTGGCTAGACTGTATCATTTGCCTGCTCTTTTAGCTGTGTCTGTGCTGTGTGTGCTGGTGCTATGCTAGCACATGTGCAGGAATAGATTTCTGTTCTGGTTTAGATCTGGTCTAACTTTTATTGCTGTCACTGGCAGCTTCTGACTAACAAGGAGCTGGTGGGGAGAAGAATTTATTGTACAGTATGCATATTCAAGTGGTATGGTGTGAAAGAAACAGCAGTGACGTGGGATGTAAGAGGCCAGCAAGAGTATGCAGCTTTTGGTTCAGAAAAAGAAGGAATTGAAGGACCAGAAAATACTCTCCTCCACAGTAGGGATAAGGCACTAAAACAATGAGGTGTTGACCCAGCTTGGTTATCCTGCACTTTTGGTGCAGAGCCCGTATGTTCCCCGAATGGCCTTTCATCAAATAGCTACACAAAGAACGTATCATAAATCAATTCACATTTGGATTTCCAGCAACAGGAATTGTGTGTGAAGGGACCATTGCCAGAATAAATAAGAAGGATCCAGTGTGCTCCAGAGGCTGCAGAAGGTATTTATCTCTCCTTCTGCCTCGTGTTTCTCCTAGGAGCAAGTCCTTGGAAAAACTGAGGGGGAAGAAGGACAGACCCCTCCCCTTTGGCAGGAGACTTGCCTGGACAAGTTCAGCAATCTGTCCAACTGCAGTTTGGTCTCCAACACAAACAAATTACACAACTGAGCTAACATTTACACTTACACACTTTACAATGACCCACATTCACTTTTATTTTAATGTAACCAGGTACTGAGTCAAAGGATCTTGTTGCTCATGGAAATTTTTCTTTCCCCCCACACCCTAATTGTTTAGAGAAATGCAGAGTCAGCAAAAGGGGCTGACCCAAGAGAAAACTCACTGTTTCCAGAACAGATACAAAACAGCTGTGTACAGCACAATCTGTTCCCACATGGTGTCTTATGAAGATGTTTCATCAAAGTGAAAGTGGGAGGAACTTGTGCTGCTGCTGCTTACACTGTGACTGTTCTGGATATAAGCAGAGGACTTGAAAATCTGCAGGTGTGTCACTCTGGCAGCTGTGAAGAGTGCTAAAATTCACTCCAAAAGAATTGTGGCAGTGAAAGTTCTCAGGAGAAAAGACAACTAAAGAGAACTCATGGCCGGAGGTTATAGACATGGGGGGTCTTCAGTATAACAACAGATAAGCTATTGAGCTACTGACAGTGAAAGGAAGGAGTTTAAAGAATGGGAAGGAGAAGACAACTCTGCTCTTTTCTAATCAGGTTGCTTTTACCAGCTGATACTTTGTGTTACCCATCTGAATCAGAGTGTTCCCAAGTTCTTAAGGGGCCAGTCTGGATTAAAAGTTTGCTATGCAAATAAAGTGGCTACTGGTTAGAGTAATGCTAGTAATGCATGTATTTTGGAAAGGTGAAACCTCATTTTCCCAGGGCTGAGTTCTAAAAATCACCCAATCCACACTTCCTCTCTTAAACAGCTAACCTAGTGCTAGCTAAATGAAACTACTTTCATTTTCCTCAAACTTAATGTTGACCACTTTCCTCAATAAAAATTGCCATCATTAAAAATTGCCATTTGTGAAGAGTAACACAGTAATCTTATCAATTAGTAATGGAAAGTAAAATATTCCCTACTCACTTTATTCCTGAATTTCAAGTGTATCAGTTACCTTGTCAAGGAAGAATCCAACCATGAGACTACCCACTGCAACAAAAAATATAAATAGCAGACAAACACAAGCTGAAAATTATTTGTCTAAAGATTATTTTTTAATACATTTGTAAATAGGAAATATATTTTTTAAAAAGCATGAATGATTGGTGAATTTTGTAGTGATCCTAAAACAAAATTATGGGTTACGACTTAACTAAATATGGACCAGCATTTAATTTTCCTTTAAGCAAAATATCTGCTCTAGTATCAACCATTTATATTAATTGCCTGTTGATTTGCTTTTGCAGTGCATACCTAGTCTCCTGTAAATAGTATACAGTACTGCCAGTAATTTAATGCGCTGTGTTGTCATAGTGTCTCCGAGGATCTGATATTCTACTCCATCAAACTTCTAGCAACCTTTCTAATCTCCTTGAAACTACAGTAGTGACAAAATACCTGACAGCAATGTTTTCCAGCAGTCACTTTAGATAACTGTGGAAAGTTATGCAAGTCTAAATCAGATAGAAGATTCAGAGTGAGAATGGCAGTATGTTATAAAAGATTCAACCATGAAGCAGAAGGGAATGAAAGACAATTTGTCATGGGAGAACTGTGTTTTTACAAACTTTCTTGCTTGTGTATTGTCAGGCTAGATCTGGCTTTCTCAGTTGAGTCATCTCCCCAGAATTCATGGAAGAAATAAGCCTTAGTTTCTTCATTGTGAAGCTTGCATATGTTTGAAAAGCAGATGAGAATTAGATCCTAGTTCCATAAATATCTAATATCTCATGTACATGAGATCATGTATTTGTAACCCTACAGGGATGTTTAAGGCATTCTAGGTGGATTCTTTTCATTACTTGGTCAATGATCTAGAAATCTTCCAAATTCCAAAGGGCATGTAAAATGAGATCATGCATGTAACAGGTAAGGCCTGTTCTTCTGTTGTTTTTTTATATATAGGTTTTATTTGGTTTGGGTTTAGGTTTCTTTTTTTTTACTTTTATACTGATACTAAAACTTATGTTTATTATACTTACTGCAGTAGTTTTAAAATATCATAAAATCCATTGAGTTGCATTTAAGAAGAGAATTATATTGAAAAGGTCAGCCAGTCACCAGTAAGGAACTTAGTCAGGTGTTTTATTATGTGAAACATATTTCTTTGGATTCTTTTTTCAGTAATCACAATATTTAAAGGTAAAGTGGAAGAAGTTGAATTACCTGTGGATAAAGTAGACATCATCATCAGCGAGTGGATGGGTTACTGTCTGTTCTATGAGTCAATGTTAAACACAGTCATCTTCGCACGAGACAAGTGGCTGGTAGGTACTCTGCATGTCTTACTCCTTGCTGGAGCAATCATCATTTATTTTCTGACTACAAGCTTCCCTCTCCTACTGTCACCATAACAAGACATAGTTACATCTCCAAGTGCCATTGCTTAGGCTTTAACAAAGAGATTAACAAAAGGATTCTTAGTGAAAGAGCTTTTGCTTTTGGTTAACTGCTGGTGAAATTCATATAGACACTATCTAATGACATTGCCACAGGCTGCTTGCTGAGATTAAAGCTGATGTGACAATCTGAAGGAAAACAATAAAGGCATGCAAGGGGTGCTTGTCTGGTTTTTGTATGTGCAGTTCAAAATGTGATGTCTTTGTCAGGTGAATAGATTACGAGATCCATTTCCCCACAATTCATCAACAGAAACCTGGAGGGCTAATGTTTCCAGACCGAGCTGCTTTGTACGTGGTAGCAATTGAAGACAGACAGTACAAGGACTTCAAAATTCACTGTGAGTAAATGCTTAACAGTAACACTTTTCTATGGTTATTTCCCTAAAATATTTGATCTATAGTGGCCTACTGTGATCTCTTCACTGGCAACGTTTTGCAAAAGTCAAAAAATCACACTGACAGGCCAGAATTCCAATATAAACAATGAACACTGAGAAAACTCTGGTGATAAATTCAGGAAACTTGCAGTAATTTAAAGTGCATAAAGGAAAGATGCATGGATAAACTTATGTAGTCTTTGCTTAGAGTTGTAGTGATACCTCCACCTCTATTTTAAAATGTGGATTTTAGGAGATTTAGTTTTGTTGTTGTTATGATAAAAACATCATCCTACATAACTGCCATTAAAATTGGTAATATTCTCTTCCCATCCAGGTGCTGCATTTTGTTTTTAAAATAACAAGAACAGAAAAATTAATAAGAAGCAAATGAACTGTAAATTTTAAGAAATAAGCCTAGAAAAAATTATATCTCACTAATAAGCTTGACAAGAAGAAAAAAAAATTTTTTAAACTTTTTGAAACACTTTATGTGAGAATTTTGAAATTAAAAATAAAGATCAGAAATTTCCATTTTACTTCAATATGAAAAAAAGTTCTAAATTCTTTTTTACTTCATAGATTCATAAAATTGAGTTTTCCTATACATCTAAAATGTTTTCTGTTTTTCCTTGAAGCTTCATTGAATAACTGGTGCTGTTAGTGACCTCTACAGGTCACATAGTCCAGCCTCCTGCTCAAAGCAAGGCCAGATAAAGGTAAAGCAGGTCACCCAGGGCCCTGCCCTAACAGAGTCAAGAGATGGGGGATTCCATAGCTTCTCTGGCCACTTGTTCAAATGCTGAAGCACCCTCAGGAGTAAATACCTTTCTGAATACCAAGTCAGAATTTTCATTGCTGAAACTTGCCTTCATTGTCCCTTGTCACCTGAAGGGAATCTGTCTTTTTCTTTGTTTCTGTAGCAGCAGATCCCACCATTAGCCTTTGCTGTCCAGGCTAAGCAAACCCAGTTTTCTTGGCCACTCCTCATATCTTAGCATGCGGTTCACTTTCATCACCGGATCATCATACTTCTGGTTCACACTCAACTTGTTGTCCCCCAGGTCACCCAAGTTTGGATTTATTTGGTCATAATAGTTTTGATGAAATGAGTAAGTTCTACATTATTTGACTTTTCTTTTCTTATTTAATTTTTTTTCTTTTTTGACTTCTATTTACTTTTCAGAGCTGGTCAATTTAACTTAAAGGCATTTTCCATTAAGGGGGGCAAAAAAATCACAAAATTCCTAAGCAGTTTTATTAATTAAGGATACATGCAAAAGCTTGGGTAAAATTAGTGGGTTCAGTCAACCTTTAAATGAAAATGCCTAACTCCTCATTCCTTGTCTCTCAGCTCCTCTCAGAAAATAAAGTCTGGTGTTTCTGTAATCAAATTAGTGCCAGTACACAGAACTTCCAATGGCTCAAAACTGCCATTTTGGGTCAAAAACAAGCCCAGGGGCAGTGACAAGAAGTCTGTGTAGGTGCCAGGGAGAATTGTATCTACTCCCCAAGCACAGCCTAAATTTTTCTCCTCAGTTATGAGATGACCTTGACAGCCAAATTCCTTACAAAATTCACAGATTCAAAAGGATGTATGAGGCATCCATTCTGTAAAGGAATAAAAGCCATTTTGGCCTAATGAAATCCCTTATGCCTTCTTTCACCTTGCCTTTTAACCCCTTCTTTTCTATACCTTGAGCCTTTTTCTTTTCTCACAGGCAATACACCTATTTTAAACTCATTTATTTTTTCATAATTTTAAAAAAAATGTTTCGGATCTTTTTGTCTTTTCAAATGCTGTTTTCCTTTAAGACACTTTATTTTCTGATTTCACCTCTGATTAAAGTAAATACCTTCCCCCCTCACTTTTTATACCTCCGTGTCTTCTTCAGTTAGTCCATCTCACTACCTGTCTGCACCACCATCTTGTCTCTCTTTTCAGTTTATAAATCCTTGATGGTGTCTCCTTACATTTAATTTTTTCATCTTTCTTTCTTTTCTCTTGAGGTTGATAGAGTCTTGCCTTCATATGAGACGCAGGGCTGAGCATTTCAAAGGGCACTCAAGAACCATCATATTGATTAAAAAATAATGCAATATGAGGTTTCAAAAAAAATCTGACTTCTGATTTCTCAAACTTTATTAATGCTACAGACTACTGCTATAGTAAATTACTCAGATTTCCTCCAAAATGTAAAACATATCATTTTACTTTTTAACTCCTGCGTCTCTGTCTAATATAGACTGTAGCATATATTTCAAAGGCATGCCATGTAGGCTGAAGTACATCAAGTGATGGAGGCCCCAACAACTGTTAATAAATTGTTCTTTTAGGGTTTCCTAGTTAATCTTTTCTGAGTAACCACATAAAAACATATGGCTTCTATAAATATAATCTGAAGTTCCCACATGCTCATGGTGCCTGAAATGAATGTTTTCATCACCAGCTCTCCTGAAATATTGAGAAACTCACAGCCCAATAAAGAGATAACATTTCAAATAACTTCTTATATCCAGATTTGTTCCAACTTAGAAATATGCAGATTTTTTTGCTCATACTACATTTTTAATCATATCATTTCAATCTGGGAACACCAGTAGCTCAAATTCTTATGCTCTGAAAAAACAAGACATTTCAAACATGCTAACTATTGCTGTTTATCAGTTTACCTTGCTTGTGTTCAAACAACCTTTTAAAAAGTTGACAGTATTCAGTTTAGACTTTCAGATGGAGCACTGAATGCACCTTGACTCATATGATTCATAAGACTAAGGTTTCACCTTTTTTGGAGGTTTTTGTTTTCATTTTGTTAAGCAATCATAAAAGCAAAGCCAGTGTACTTCTCAATGTTTTAATATTTTGTTTTGTTCAAGGGAAAAAAAAACTCAGCAGATAAGAAGGAAGTAAAAATAAAACATAACATAACATAACATAACATAATATTACCAGAACAATCCGAAGACAGTTCAAATATAGAAGATCAGCAGGACTTTTAAAGCTTTTAGAAAGTGGACATTTTGCTTTTTTGTCATGTTGTACTTGCAGACTAAAACTTGGATGCCCCAAATATTGAAACACACCTGTAATTCTACTCCTGTCAGTAATTCACTTGCTGAAACTAAGACAACTTAAATATTTAAAAGAGCATGTAAACTGCTGATTGAATAGCAATCTATAAAAAAAGGAAATATTAACCAGAATGGATAGGAAAGGATAGAATAATCTTAGCAGATCTTCCCAAGTCTCAACTTGACATATTATATGATTTTGAGCAACACTGTGAAATGTCTAAAGCCATGAAAATCATTGACAGATCTCATATAACACAGTTTTGGGTACACCAAAAAACAAGGGCCAATTGTTCAAAAATGTACATTGAGGGGTTATTTTGACACAACTGCATTATATCTGTAAAATGGCAATGATGACATAGACAAGTGGGGCAGGGAGCAAAGAGCTAAAGAGGAGAGCTGAAAGGGGATTGTAGAAATTCTTTCAAATGCTTTGAGAAACAAAAAATATTTTTATTATTATTGCTAATCTTTGACACATCCATTTGCATTGACAGGGTGGGAGAATGTGTACGGCTTTGACATGACCTGTATTAGGGATGTTGCCATGAAGGAGCCTTTGGTGGACATAGTAGATCCAAAGCAAGTGGTGACCAATGCCTGTTTAATAAAGGTTTGGTAATTCCAAATATACCTAATTATGAATGTTTATACATAACTGTAGGATTCTTTGGAGACCTGCTGCTTATGTTTTCCTACTATCTTTGTATGCTTCTCACTAGCTGCAGAAGCCATCATCATAAAATGCTATCACACTAAAAAGGAAAATCGTGCAGTTTTAAATTAGTCAGTACTAGCATGTTGCATATGACCAATACTGTCACCTGAGCTAAGCATAAAGATTAATACCTTAATCACTTACGGAATACCAAAAAGCAAGATGCTCCTTGTGACTCTGTACTCATATGGCTATTGCTAACTGTAACTTAAGACTCTTACAAATTACACGTTGTAAATACTGGATAAATAGAGACATGGTGTATTTAGATATGAATTTTAATTGCCCTACCTTCTTGTAAATAGAGGTTGGAAATTACTGATGGAATGCTGCTGAGGGGTAAATTAATTCTGTTTGCAGTAAAAAAGACTGAAGCATCAGTTTCTGAATTGGTCAGCTCTGATGAAATAACTCTAATTTACTCCAGAGCATGAGATCAGAATTGGAACCTAATTTATTTGTGTAATTCCTATTTCTTAGCCATATCCAGAATGTTACTGTGCTCTCTCCCAGCCCCAAAATCTGCAACCAGAGGTTAGCTTGTACCCTGTTCTACATATAAGACAGAATGGTCACTACTCCCTGTTCACAAGACCAGGTTAAGAATCCATAGCCTGCAGGAACACATGAAAGCTCTAAAATTCCTTCCATGTGAAGGAATCCTTTTCATGTGGAACTACTCTCATGAATAAGGCTGTCCACATCAATAGCAGTGGTAGGATCAGATCCACAATTCCAAGAGTGCGCTTACTTATCCCAAAGACTGAGTTCTAATTTTTCCCTTTCACTTTTTGCCAGTAACAAACACAGCATTAAGTATTCCCATATGCAAAAAGGAAAGACATACCTTAGTCTGCAGAACCTTTACTGAAAGCAGCAAAAAGGAGCAGAAGTAGAAATTGTGTGAGTATGTATGCATGCACAGTCCAACGGCACTGAGGGGAACACAAGATGGTTATGTCTGAAAACAGCTTAAGCCAGAGCAATTTAAAATTGCAATATGCACAAAATAAACAGCTATTTAGACTGCATAAAATATGTCCAGAGAGTGAGAGATCAGGTGGCAAAATGGGTTACCTTCTCTGGAATAAAAAATTATAAGAATTGCATGCCCTTAAATGAAGTGCAAATCTAACACTTTATTTAGAAGTTCTTTGAAAGTAATTTGGTTTAAGAAGACAGACAAAATTTTTCAAACTGTTCCTATTCAGGAACACAGCCTGACATCTTTCGTCCATACCCTGAATGGTGCTTTACCATGTAACGGCACCTTGGGAGCAAAGCAGGTAATAACTACACAAGCAGAAACCACTCTCCATTCCAGAAACTGTCCCTAATCTCACAAACTGATCACTAAAAAAAGAGAAAATTGAAAATGAAAGGCAGGAAGGAGGGAGGTTTTTGTTCAAGGTAGCAATATGGAAGCAAGAAAAATTGAGGCTGCATTTTTTTAATTTAATTTGTTTTGCACATGATTTATTTATATAAAGTGCATATCTTTGATCCTGAATCACAATATTAGCCTAAGAAAACATTTGAGAATCAACAAAGCAATAATGTTTAATTATTCAAATGTTTTTTATATATATTTCCAGATGGCTTATTCAGATTATTCAGCTTATTCGTATTAGATTCACAAAGGTATTTTTTAGGGGGGGTATTCAACTCAAAACCAGCTAACTTAGGGTGCCTACCTAGGCAGGTAGGTCTGTGTTTCCTATATGTTAGTTAGTAGATGGACTGGTCACTAGATGCATTCCTAACATACCAGTCAGAGCCCTGTGCTTCTGCAGTTATTTCAATTCCCAATTTAGATGCTCTGAATTGTTCTACAAAATCAGCAGAATAAGACATCAGCCCCTGCATGCTATGTAACCATGACACTTATCTAGAATGCTGGAGACTTGAGTAAAATTTCCTCATTTGTACTTTTCAGGAATTGGATGTAATCCAAGTCTTGAACCCTTCAGGGAACTCTAGCTACTAAGCCCCAGGTGCAGTGGGAGTGGTACATGCAGGGAATACAGCATCTTCTCTATTGTGGAAGCAATTTGCTTTTGAATGGTCTCTTAAGTATATCCCAGGAGCATAGGAATTTTCCTAGCAAGTAGGAGTCCTCTGTTTGAATTCCAAACCAAATTAGCCAGGGAGAGTAGTGGGACCAAAGCATCTTCAGATCACCAGAGTCAATAACTGATCTCAGGAAAAGTGTGCAAGTGTCCGTCTGAGGACCTACTGCTTTCAGTAACATTGCCTGAAAAAATAGAAAAGTTTGTTTCAAACTTAGTAAACAGCTATGTTTTCTTCTCTGATCCCCTTGCATGTTAGAGAAATACAAATTGCTTTGGGTTGACCCAAAACATTTTCTCCATGTTAATTTTGTGTCAGCACCAGAGACTACTGTTCACACAGCTGTAGAAAAAGTTGCAATGAGAATGGCAAAAACTCACAAAACCAAACAAAAATGAAGAACATAACATACATTCATTCTTGAGCCCATGTGAACCTCATGCAGTTCAACAAGGCCAAGTGCAAGGTCCTGCACCTGGGTCAGGGCATTCCCAAACACAAATACAGGCTGGATGGAGAATGGATTGAGAGCAGCCCTGAGGAGAAGGTCTTGGGGGTGTTGGTTGATGCTGGTTGGGTGGTGTTGAAGCTCAATGTGACCCAGCAATTGTGCGCTTGCAGCTCAGAAAGCCAACTGTATCCTGGGCTGCATCAAAAGAAGCGTGGCCAGCAGGTCAAGGGATGTAATTCTCCCCCTCTGCTCCACTCTTGTGAGACCCCACCTGGAGTACTGTGTTCAGATCTGGGGCCCCCAGCGTAAGAAGGACATGGACCTGTTGGAGTGAGTCCAGAGGAGGGCCACAAGATGATCAAAGGTCTGGAGCATCTCTCTTATGAAGACAAACAGAGAGAGTTGTCGTTCTTCAGCCTGGAGAAGAGAAGGCTCCAAGGAGACCTTATAGGAGCCTTCCAGTACCTAAAGGGGGGCCTTTCTTGTAAGAAAGCTGGAGAGGGACTTTTTACAAGGGCCTGTAGTGATAGGACAAGGGTTAATGGCTTTAAACTGTAAGAGGGTAAGTTTAGATTAGATATAAGGAAGAAATTCTTCACTATGAAGGTGGTGAGACAGTGGAACAGGTTGCTCAAAGAAGCTGTAGATACCCCATCCCTGGAAGTGTTCAAGGCCAGGTTGGATGGGGCTTTGAGCAACGTGGTCTTAGTGCAAGGCATCCCTGCCCATGGCAGAGGGGTTGGAACTATATGTTCTTTAAAGTCCCTTCCAACCAAAACTGTTCTATGATTCTATGATTCTATGAACACGCCACATCCAGTTTATAATAAAAGATACTGTTGGACTTTCCTGAATATCCTCCCCTATCTAGCCACAGAGAAAGAACAAAAAAAAGAAATAAATCTACTTTTATGCTCCCATTTGTCCCACACTTTCCAGGAACAGTTCAAAGCTCCTGCATGTCACACACCACTTTAAGATTAATACAGTTTAATGCTACTTAAAGCACAAACTGCCTTCCCTGCACAAAAAAAAAAAAAGAGCAACATTATTGTTTATCAGAGAACATGGCATAATAGCAAAAAAACCATTGACCCATATGCTCAAATATCCAGTTCTTTGAGAAATTTCCACTGTGTTGGAAATACCGTGATTCACCTGTACGAAGCCTTATTTCAAAGGACGTGCAGTATTTTCTGCAAAAAGGTAATGTTTCCAGCCACATAGGTGACGCACTTGTCTGTGAGCTCCAATGAGTCTGATGTTCTTTTCCCATAGTAACCTTGACACATGAGATTTAGGACATTCCTCATGAGACTTTTCTCTTGCTCCAGTGCAACTTCCATGAACTCCCTAATCACATTCCTTTCCCCCAGCTTCTCCTAAAGTAAAGCAAAAGGCACCTATGCCACTCATTTTCCATCTTTCTTCAAACACTGCTTTTTTTAAACTCATTTTTCTTCTCTGCTCTTTTTGACACATGAAAATCTCCGTTCCCTTTCCTAAGTGACTTGCCCTGTCACTCTTTCTGTTCCAGCAGTTCTCCCCACAGTCTTTCCTTTCAGCATCCTCAGATTTAACTCTGCCTATCCCCATCCCCCCTACCCCCCAAAAACCCCCCAAAACATAAAACCAAACAACACCTACTAATTTTCAGGCATTTTATTCTCTGCAAACAGGAAAAGATGGCAGAAGAGGGGCCCTGGCAGGAGGCTGAGATCCCTGTTATTTCATCTAATAGAAAACCAATATATGCTGCAATATCTAGTTAAAACAGTTTCAGATACTCCATTCTTCCTTTCACTGCTCCCCTGAAACTCTCAGAATTTAATGATGTTTCTTCTCTCCCCACATTAATACTGTTGATTCTCTGCACTCTTCAAAAAAAATTAAAAAGAAAAATAATTTTATTTTGGAAAAGTGAATGTGTTTTGGGGACTGACTATTGCATTCAGTGCTCCCCTCGTATCTGGTATGCATGTGTGCAACTGACAATATAGGTCATTTTCTCAATACTTGACAGAAAAGAGGGTTTGGCCCTTTCTCCTTTCCCTAGCAATTAATTTTACTTCTCAGCCTTCAGATCAATCCTTTTCCTGAAGTTGTTTGTACCAGTGTTGCCTGTCCTCCAGGTTCTACATCAGTTCAACACCTTTACCTGCTGTGATTAGCACTGCCTTCACCACCGCATCCTATGTTGGGGTGACCATTTCCCTCTTTGTCCAAACCAAGACAGACGGTGCAGTGGGAGAGAGAAAGGGGGGAAAACCCCAACCCCAAATCCAAAACAAACAAACAAACAAACAAGCAAAACCACCAAAACCAAACATTCACTGAGATTTGAATCTTTAACTTATCTCCATGCTCACACAATCCTAGCTGAGTAAGCTGGGAAGGAAAGAGGTGCAGTGGCACTCTAGAAGCAACCTTAATAATGATTTGCATGAGGAAACAGGTCAGGCAGCAAGTCAGCATTTTTCCCATCAGCAAACCTGATTCAGGGCTGTTTTCTGTCATTAGTTAGGTTGCCTTCAGCTAGGGTGATACCATTCAAGTAAGAAATACATAGCAGCTGGCACACTGCATCTCAACCTTATTGGCATTATCCCTGTGATTCTAAATGATCTTTCTATACATTATTTGCTCAGTCCTAAAGCAATTTGTGCCACAGGACAGCCCAAGAACCATTCTTTATGCAGCGAATGTAAAAACTGGACCTCTATCTGTCTCTCTGCAACAGGGACATATAGCATGGGATGTCTCATGGTCTTTCATGCAGTCAACCACAGTCTGGACCTCCTTATTTAGCTGGTAATTCTGACATTTTTATTGTTGCTCAGCTTAACATGTTTTATTTTACTAGTATAATTAAGAGCTGTATTTTGATCAGATCCCTGCTTAACTATGCCCATTTTGTTGTTGTTTTTGAAATCTGAATGAAATCTGGTAAATCGTGACTTTTCCACTTATTTATGCAAAGATAGAATTTGTCCCCTGTGCTGTAATGAACATTCCATGAGCAGTGACATTTAATATAAGAATATATAGTAGCCAGAGTACGATTCAAAGAGATCACTAAAACAGGATCAGGCCAGTCTCGAAACTATATTAATTAATAAAGCAGCTCACCTTTGTCTCCTATCTTGCATAGTAAAAATAAGCATGTTTCTGTCCTTAAAAAAAGACTGCAAAAGTGACCACCATTTTATCCAGCACATCTGTTCAATATTTCTGAGACATTTCCTCTAACTTCTCTAATAAAAATATTTCCTAATGCTTTTGATTCCACTTCATCCTGCAGAGCCAACACAGCTTAGATAGAGGGAGCCACAGTGGTACCAAAGCCACCAAAAATTACAGAAAACTGCAGCGATAGCCACCAGTCCAGTCTAGCTTGTCAAAGCAAATTTTGCAAGCTGCTATGGAAGTCTGCCAGGAGTCTTCAGAAATTCTTATTCCTAGTATGCTTTTTTCCTTTTTACCTTCATCTGAGGAAAAAAAGTAGATTTTAAGGCTATCCTAGCTTTAAATGACCACTTGTAGGCATGGGTTACTTGTAAGCACTAGTGACTCAGGGTGCCATTACAATGTAGTAGAATAATTTTCATTATGCTTGTTATTCTTGAATATTGCTAATCAGACAGGCCAAAACTATAGCTTGCTTAAATCATCTCACTATAAGTTTTCTAAGTCTCAGAATCACATGATATGTGGTCCATGCAAAGACATCAGTAACTGAAATATGACTGCATCTTTTGATATCTATTTTTGCAGACTTCTTTTAGAGTATAGAATGCAATTGCTAAAAGGGCCTTCTGTTGTGCCCTAAAAGAGCCCTCTAATGCACATTCTAGATTCTGCTCTCCATTTTTGCAGTGATTCTGAAGTAATGCTGGTGAGGTCAGTGATATGATTCCTGGCTTATGCTGATAGAGTAGAGGAAATGTGGATTTCTGCCTACAAAGCTTCTATTTCTCCATATGTATGAGCGGTTTTGTTGTTAATACTGACTTTCTGAATAATAGAGAGAAAAATATTTTGGGGATATCTGGCTCTTGCCAAATACGCCCTGACAAGGATGATAAGGACAGATACACTTAGGAGGATATCAGAAAGTGCATTGATATGAAACATTTCCCATAATATTAGAATACAATTAATAATATTTCAGACTTAGTATCCTCCCTATCATGACTACAAGTTTTGGAAACAATCCAGATAAAAGCAATAACTAGCTGGGAAAATTGGATCCATCTAAAAAATTCAGTTTAAGCCTTGAACAGTGAGATTTAAATATTGATGTAAATAAGCAGTCTTGGAGACGACATTGTTGCTCCCAACTACTGCAATCAAGCCATAGTACAGTTTACATGATTTGCTTCTGTCTAGTTCAAGAGTAAGATCCCTGTGCTTACTTTTTGGAATCGGTTATCTGACACAGGACTAGAAAGCATTATCAGCAAAAAGAAGGCCCTTGTCATACCTCAAATGTTTTGACTGCTTGACAGAGTCAAAGCACATTTCCTTCCAGAGATGCTCAAACAAATCAGAAGTTTATTTTTATTAAAAATGCAACTCTGCCATCTTTCCTCATGCTAACAGTCCCTGGTGATGAAAGGTCTTAGAACTGAGACCTCTATCTCCATTTCATTTTCACATTTTTATCTTGATTTCCTCCAGCTCCCACAGCCCCTCCTGCCATTCCCAAGGACACACACTCTTCTGCCTTTCCTATCACACTCTGTCAACTTAGTCAGATAACTGGATCCTTTGTTGATGATTTGATATATTCAAATGTGTCATTGATTTTTTACAGTGTAAAAGGGCTGCCAGTTTTCTTTGTTGTGATCATCAAATAAAATGCTTTAAGTACATCACTTAACACTTACCTCAGAGTCACAGACATCTGCATGTAAATGTGTTTTTCTTTCTCCATAAAACAGGAAGTAGATATTTATACAGTGAAGGCTGAAGAATTGGCATTTACTTCTGCATTCTGCCTCCAGATTCAGCGTAATGATTACATTCATGCCTTGGTCACCTATTTTAATATCGAATTTACAAAGTGCCACAAGAAGATGGGATTTTCTACAGGTAATCTGTATTTCTTTTAATTTCCTTTCTGTTGCTATCGGTATATCAGTGCTACTGGCTAGATTGTACATGAAGGTTTACTGCACCACCAGGTTTGAATTTCAGTGATAAAAATTATTGTCATTTTGGGGGAGGTGAGCAGGGTGGGGAAAGGACAACTGTTTATAGGAATTCTGCAAAAATAGAGGCAGGATTTCACAATGGCTACCAAGCTTAGAGCTCAGCGGGAATTATGACCCAGGAGTTTATGCCCATCACCAGTTATATCTAAGTCCTGTCTCAAGTTTCTCAGATTAGACAGGGAATTGTCAGTTCAGTGAGATACAGGAGCTCTGCATCCTAGTTTCCCCCAAATCCAAAACACAACAAAAGCTCTTGCTTGTCTCAGAGTCTAGAACAAAAGCATTGTTTTTTTCCAAGACATAACCACACACATACTGCTTATGTAAATCAGCTCTAACAACCCAAATGTGAAAGTCTAATTTACCTTGGTGAACAGATATTTAAAGGAAAAACTCCATTCCTGCAAGGTATTGTTTACCAGAGTGAATAAACCAGCCAGTGTTGGAAAAAATGTAAAAACCTCTTGACTGCTTTAATGACAAGAACAACAAATTACAGTTGGTGCTAGCTGTACTTAGCACCATTACACAACTCAAACAGGTGTAAATAGGACATGATGTAAGTTAAATATGATTAGAAATGTCTTTTTTTCTTTCTTCACAGGAGCTCTCAACCCTTTACATGAGATTCAAAGCTCAAAGTTATTTGTTAAAATGCTTATTTATATTTGATTCTAGAAGTATAACCCTATGGATGATGTTATTTGATACCTCATATTCTTAAGTTTTTCAATAACTGTGTTTCCCTTGTCATTCTCTGATGGTGTTTACAGGATAGTTTTCCGCACCATGATAGGCATCAGTATGTGCTGGGAAACAGTATAGCTAGGGAGACATGAACAATCTGTGAGGCACTGCAGTGGTATCCTGAAGTGCTAGTATTTCTGAATTTATGCTGAACAAAATTATCTAAGGTGGAAAAAAATTTATGTTTTAGGCATTTGTTTTTTCCACAGAAGGCTGTTTTTTTCAGCAGAAGGTAGCCCATTAATCTTTCCTAAAAGGTAATATAGTCAAACCTCCAGTTTTCTGTAAAAAATAGCTTTGAATGAAGGGTGTAGTTACTGTGTTGTGATGTTAACCGAAACCTACCTTAGTAAAGGAGTTCTACCTGTATTACCAGAACTACATGAAAGGTCTTTTATATCATTAAGAATGTGGCTTCATCTGCAAAGGAATAATGGGATGTGTTTTGGTTTTATGTGTGCATATGAACATACGTGTTTTAAGAAACATCTGTTGAATAGATTAGGACATCTGATTTAATGTTTTCCAGTCAAATGTGTCCCATCGCAAATCTGGCCCTCAAACATAGCCATTCTTTGCTTGATTCTTAGACATCCTGGTGAATAGGCATCAAAAGTGGCAAGGATAAGGACCCATTATGTTATTGCAAGGAGTCGCTTGTCTGCAGAGTAGACATAGACTTGCTCCAGTGTCAGTATAGCAAAAGGTGGCTGGAATAAGTATTTTCTTGACTCTTCTTGCCTCTTGAGTGTATGGAATAAAGAAGGCTCACTCAGGCACTTAGACAGAAAATGTTCTATAAGACCACCACAGGTGGGCTTAGCTTCCCTTAGCACATAGCAAGTGAGAACTTGAGGAAGGAGAGAGGTTAAACAGTATTAGAGAGAAGAGGCTACATTTGGACAAAAGCCTAGGGTAGATACCAACCTCTTCTTACAGAGAGGTTTTTACAGACCCACCTCAACTTGCAAGTGTATGCACAAGGTATTTTGTTCCTACTTGTCATGAAAAAGAGGGGAAAGGAAGAGATTTCTGAACCTCTATCAAGAACAAGGTTCATCAGCAGTGCCTGAAAACCTACCTTCTCTAAACTATCTGTAGTTCCCACAGGCTGCTACTTCATAGGTCCTGAATGCTTAGTCATACACTCCCATTCTAGGATCCCTTCAGCGTTGATGACTTGCCCTTTCTCACCATTCGTTCTGCAACTAGAGCTCTTAAATGCTGGCAGTTCAGCCTCCTTAGAGACTTGCTTGGAGAGACTTCCTATGTCTCCAAATTCTGTCTCCTGTCACTTGGAAATTTGTTTTCAGTTAGAAATTTTAACGAGGCATGTCCAAATGGAAAACAGATTCTGGATCTGAAATCCATTGCTGAAATCCAAGAAGACCGCTCCATTTAGCAATTGAGATTAACAGTCATTAAAACTGTCTAGATACATAGGCAGAAATTATCTGGTAAAATACTTTTCCTTTGGTAGATATCAGTTTACCAACACAGTTTCTGACAAAAGTTTGTTTATTTCAGCCTTTTGATTCTAGATTTTTGGAAAAAAAAGAACTCTTAAATATTCCTGTCCTGAAAGTTTTTTTGAAAAAGCTTCATTATTTCCCCAATCAGAAATGATTTCTAAGGCCAAATATTCTTTGAAACATTGATGTTGAAATGAAATGAGATCATTGTTTTATTGAACAGTTTTAAGATATTATTAGCATGATTCAATACAATGGGCCCATGCCTGCATAAAAAAATTGATTGGGGAAACAAATAGAAGAAAAATAAATTTATCAGTCTCTTTTGCCAGGTCAGGAAGTCTCTGAACTTGTACAGCTATTCTTAGATTCATAGCTGTTCTTAACTGCAAGAACGCTAGGAACAAGAAATAACCAATGCAAGTTCATTAGACACTGATCAAAGATTTGAATTTAAATCAGAAATAAAAAAAAAACACAAGTAAAATAAAAACCTGAAATAGCAGAAGGTCATCAAAGTGATTCTGCTAAGCAAGACCAGAAATTAATTTGTCCATCTCTGGCAAATTGTCCACAGCATATGCCTTTAAAATGTCCAAAAACAGGTGCAGGTGCAAGTGCCCTCTCCTCCTGAAAACTATAAAATCTGCTGTTCTGGGATCATGTGTCAAAGGTTTCATCTGTGTCATTGTCTCTTCTCCCAAGTTACAAGTGATAGGACAAGAGGAAATGGCCCAAGTTGCACCAGGGGAAATTTAGATTGAATATTAGGAAATATTTATTCACCAAAACAGTTCTCAAGTGTTGGAATAGGGAAGTGGTTGAGTCACGATCCCTGGAGGTATTTGAGAGACATGTAGATGTGGTGCTTAGGAACATGGTTTAGTGGTGGACCTGGCAGTGTTAGGTTAACAGTTGGACTTGACGATCTTAAAGGTCTTTTCCAACCTGAATAATACTATGATTCTGTGATTGTGATTAACAATTTTTTATGAACCTTTCTTTCATGGTTTTGTGTAATTGTTTTTTGAACTAATTTAGATTTCTGACTTTCAAAGCAGTTAGTACTAAAAATTTACCCAATTTGAGTGTGGACTGAAAGAAAAGCATGGAAAATTGCCTGTCAAGCCCAGTAACACCCTTTGTGGAATGCTTCTTGCTCGGTGTGATTCACATCTGTCATATTCCAGTAAAAAACAGAAGACAACCCACTGACAGTCGATAGGATTGTGTTGTTGTAAAGCATGTTTGCTAATATAGTATATTTTATATATATATATATAAGTTACAGCATTCTATGAGAAGAAAGACTTTTTTCAGTTGTTCCTAAGTCTTAATTTGATTTGTAAGACAAAGATGAAATTTCTATAAATAATACCCATATATATTTTTTAGCACCTGATGCTCCCTATACTCATTGGAAGCAAACTGTCTTCTACTTAGAGGACTATTTAACTGTGAGACGAGGAGAAGAAATCTATGGGACTATATCCATGAAACCAAATGCAAAAAATGTGGTGAGTCAGCATCACTGATTCTAATTCCAACTCTGATCACAAACTATAACCAACAGTAAATAAAATGCTTATAAGTAAAACAATGACCATGCTAAAGGCTCTAAAATCATGTTTATTAGTGAGAGCTCCAGTCACAGCTTCACCAAAGCTGGTGACAGCAATGATAATGCAGTGCTCATGTTACAGAACTCAGCCTGCAAACAAGCTAGCATGGGAAGGAAGAAATTATTCAAGTACACCCCCAAGTCAGCTGCCCTCTGCAATCACCTTGGCTTGCCTTTTGTGACGCAAGTAGGCAAGAGCATCTTCATACTGTCACTAAAATCAGTCGTAAGATCACTTCTGTCAACACAGTGTGATCAAGAGTAAGTACTTCAGTTCTTACTGAAGTAAGACTTACTTCTTACACATCTATAGCCAGATTTCCCACTCAATGACCAAGAATTCTACTTTAGGAAATTAAGTAACAGATTTCAGCTGAATGTCTGTATGAACTCAAAGATCAAATGTACTTGAACTCACTAATTAAGTGATATGGTTGTTTAAAAATCGTGGCTTTCCACAGAAAATACAGATGTTTTATTTAAGACTAAAGCTAAAGCATGATGGATATCACACTGTCATGACTGGTGAAAACTTCCTCAATTTCTCTGGTATGGGCTGAATCCCTCACCAAGTATGTCAGTGCTTCTTTTAACTCGTATGGACACTATGAGACATGGTCTGATGGACAATCCATGTCTGTATAGAAGAGCAAGACATGAGAAGTATAGCTTCTGGGAGAAGCAGTGGCACCATTTTCTGCCAGAAACTTTGAGCAGAATCTATTTGTTTTCTATTACAACATACAGCCATTAAAATAACCTGGTTATAATCTGTCCATGCAATTGTTGTAATTGTTGAAATACTGCCTTTGTTGACTGCAGCAATTCTTAACATTAATTTAACATTGCATTTGCATTACTTTTTTGTACCAAATACAGATTGGATATGGTTTTCATAGTAGTGTTGGGGGGAGAAATAAACACAAAATAAACTTGGCATGAAAACAAACACATTCACTCCTGAAGCTACCACTTGCTGTGAAAGTAGATGAAAATAGTCTGTGTCCCACCTTTATGTTGTCCTTTGGGGACTGGAACGTTTTCATTTGGGTTGAAGTATCAATTTCCTTTTGAGTAAAAAATGAAGAAAATATTTCAAATTTGTTTGCACAGCAGTAAACACCTGAATGCAGATTTAGGTGCTAAAATTAAGACAGAGAGCACCTTGGTTCAAAAGGATTTGTTAGTGCTTTGTTCTTCTGAAACAGGAAGTCTTTCAAAAGCTTGTAGAGAGACAGCTTTGTTTTGTAGGGCTATGTAGTTCCTCTTTCCAAAAAACATGTCATTATAAGATAAAGAATGACTGAGGGCTTCTCTACAATGGGAAGTTTACTAGATCTATTCTGAAATAAATCCTAGTGTGAAAGCCCTTTACCTTAGATTAAGAGCATCTTAATGGAGGATACCTTAAAAAACATTAGAGAATATGTATGATAGCACAGCATTTCAAAAGCTTCCTAGTTGTAACCAGGCCACTAACTCAGCCTTAAGAAGAATGCACAAATATGCCCTAGACATAGATTGTGTGGTGAAAGCTCTTACACATCATATATCTTGCTTTTTCGGTGTTAGCAAAATTTAAAAACAAAAGAAGTTAGATCTATCTCTTGAATCTGCAGGTCTTTTCAACCTGAGCAATGATAACTGAATTCATACACTAACTTACAGTCTTACTTACATGTTTCATTTAAATCTTCTTACAGCGTGACCTGGATTTCACAGTAGACTTGGATTTTAAAGGACAGCTGTGTGAAATGTCAGTATCTAATGACTACAAAATGCGCTAGCAAGAAACCTTTCAGCAAGATGAAAAGGAGAATTTTGTCAAGTCCTGAACTGCTGAACTTCAAGCTAGGAACAACGGTTCACAAGATTATTATATTAAATGTTTACTCTGATGGAAAGTGGTAACCTCAGCCTTCTTGCAGACAGTACAAGGGGCTGGGATCCCACTGTACAGTATACAGAATTGTAGCTTTTGTCAAACATATAGGAAAAATAGGCAACAGTCTTTAGTGTCCTGGTGAACTTTAGGGTGGCAGAAGATGCTCATACAAATTGTACTACTTACTGTGAATTTCTGGTTCTTCCAAGCTTTGCATGTTAAAGATGATTCAGGAAGTTTTCTCACTATGAAAGACCACTATAGCACATTACTGTGACAGTATTACTGGACTTATATTCAATATAAATGAATATATAGAGAGTACATGAGAAAAAAATGTTGTTTCATAATAGGAATTTGGCTTGTCATTATTTAATTCTCATTATGCAGTTATAGAAAGATAATGATGTTACTTCTGGCACTACTCTAGGCAGTGATATATTCCATTAACTGCTCAAAGTTACAGCTTTGGTAAATATTCCATGCAAAGTGTAGATAAGACTTGGGCATTTACAGAAAGTTCAAAAACTATCTTTTTGAATGTCCTCTGGAAAATGTGGACCATTAGTTTTAAAATTCACCTTCACAACTGGATGTCTGTCAGAGCTTTAAAAAACATTAGCTTTTTATCCTTGAAAACATTTTGTGTTGAGTTTTTATAGCTGGATTTTGCATGAGACCTTCTGAAATCAGACACCTAATATTTAAATGTGATGAATGCAAAGTCTCTGAAATGGTGGGTAATTCATGTTTTTTGGCCATGCCAGTTCTTTGCAAGATTCTTAATACAAAATAATTAAAAAAAATAGGAATTAGTGTTTCCTTTTGGTGATGTTTTAGGTAAGTTTTAAATTGCAAATGCTATTCTCAAGAGTGCAGTGATTTGCAGGAACAAGCTTATGTCTTTAAAAAAAAGTCTATGGCTTCTGATATTACTAAGATGTCTGTAGCTTCCCTATCCCCTTAAACCCCTTGTTTTTCTTATAATATTTCCTGCTTATGGTTAAAATATTAACAGCTTATAATTGTTCACACATATATATCAAGTCTTTTTACTATTTGAATGTTGATCATTTAATCACATGTAATTTGTCAAAAACTGCATCATCAGTCCTATCTACCCATTTTCCAGTCTGTCTGGCATTAGGCACTAAATCATGTTCCATCATGGATTGGATGAGATTGACTAGTTTTTTTGCCTAAAAATCTTTCTAATCACCTGCAAATAAAGCATATTTGAAGATCTATTTTGCCAGTATTTGTCAACTTTTCACTTTTTAGAAACCTATTTCTATTGTTTTTCCCTTCACAAAAACTGTACAGTGTCTCCATTTTCTTAAGGTCAAAAGATTATGGTCTAGGGATTTTATCACATGGTATCTATGTAGAATGAAATTAAACTGTAATTCAGCAGTAAAATATACTGTTTGCAGTGTAGTTCATCACTGTTGTTTTAAAGCACTTTTCTTTCATATTCTTGGAGTGAGGATGAGCAACTTTCCTCACAAAATTATTTCATCTGTCACATATTGCTGTCATTTTCAAGGGATCAGTTCATATCTAGGTCAGCTACTATTTCAGTAATGGTTTGGAGCAGAAAAGCCTCTAGAAGTCACTTTCTACTAATACTTCTGTGGTTCTCAGACTTTAAGGTAAGGAATTCTACCAGATTTTTCTCAGCCTCCTCCATTTATATAAAGATACTCAAACAATTTTTTCATCTTCTCCTTTGCCGGTAATCACTGTACTAACTATAGAGGAGGAAAGACTTTGGTTGTCTAACTTAAACTTTGAGAGCACTTCAGACCATCCACTCCTCTTGCCCACTGCATGAATCTTTAATAATATTAAAAGAATAATAAAGAAGGGAAAAAAATGAACCCACCTGTTTTAAAAAAAGAAAAGACAAATCACCAAAAAAAAAAAAAAAAAAAGAATTCACAAGGGTCTGCCTGCCTTTACTGAGAATGTGTCATTTTTGCCTGGACAAGAAGCAGCAAAGAAAACTTGATCATAACAGTTCATTAACCAGTTGGAGAGGTATTTTAAGCACTGCTGCGTACTGCCCTTTCTGCCTCATCTTTCAGCTAATGGCAGTGAAATGTAGTGCTCTCTTCAACAGTGGCCACCTTGGCTTCTTTCTTACTACAAGTGCCCATTCACTTAAGCATTGCAAGACTAAGTCCTTGCTGATATTGTTAATGTCATAGTTCCGGGCTGATGACCAGACTTCAGTCACATTAAGCCCTGGGAAACTGGCTTGTGCTTTTTCTTCACATCAAAAGCATATCACATATTTCTCTATCACATAAAGAACTGAGAGTGCCTACTGCAGTCTGAGTATCTTCAAATCCCAGTGATCAAAAAGAAAATTTAAACTTCCAAGGCCATTATAGATGTTACCTACCACTAATGTTTTGAAAGCATCAATGAGTTCAGCATACATAGGAGCTGCTAGGTCAGCATTAGTGAAACAGATATGCAAAGAGCTTGCAGGCCAGGTGCTATCCACTGATAGGCTCTCCTCAGCAATTTAACAAGTCTGGGCAACTACCACAGAGACTGAGCCTAATCTTCTCAAGGCTTCAATGAGAAGTTCTATCATGGACTCCACAGCTGAACTCAAGCCACTGATCTTCGAAGCTTTGCATTATACTACTACTGACAAAATGACTGATGACATCTAAAACAGACATATGTTTAAAGCTTTTCTTTTCCTTCCCACTGACAGGAAAAAAAGATCATGAGCTGAGACAGAGCATGAGAAAGAAAGTGAAATACAGTATCCACACAAAAGACTGCCCCCAATGAGTAACAAATATGGCATTGGAGAAAAGAGAAAGCAGGTTGCTTCTGCTTTGACTCTAATCTTAAGGCAAAAGTATTAAAACTTCTCTGGGATTGTCCTGTCACTCGAAACACAAAGGAGCAACCAAAAAAAGATAGCTACTGAGCATATCTCTAGAAGGCATAGTGTGCAATTCACACTTGCAGTGCTTGTAGGATTAGGGAGGTAGTCCCTAATGTTAAGAGGACCAATCTGTCTTCCCAAGGTTCTGAACAAAACAGTATATAGTATGATTCTGTTGTCACATGCATCTCTTATTCCCAGCACCAACTAGCCCTTGAGAGATATTATTAAAGGTTTTGTTTGTTTTTTGACAGGCTTGTTCTGGGGACCTTTCTATGCGCAGAATTAAGAGTTTTAGAGCCTTCTTACACTGTCTTACGCTTTTAATAGGGGTTGGAATGGTCCAGAATATAGACAAGAATATTACCCAAGACAGCATGTTTTTACTACAGAGCTAGTTTGAAGAACCTTATCAGAGATAATTTCTTACAGGATTTGTCTTAAATTTAATATTAATACGTAGATTAATTTACCACATATAGATTTGATTGTAAATAATCAAGAGAAACTTCTGTCCTGATTTCAGCTGGGATAGAGTTAATTTTCTCCCCAATAGCTGCTATAGCGCTGAGTTTTGAACTTAGTATGAGAATAATGTTGATAACACACTGGTATTTTTAGTTTGCTACGCAGTTGTAGTGCTTATACTAAGTCAAGGACTTTTCAGCTTTCCATGCTCTGCCAGCAGAGAGTTTGCACAAGAAGCTGGGAGGGGCACAGCCAGGACAGCTGACCCAGATTGGCCAAAGAGATATACCGTGTAACATCATGCTCAGCATATAAAATTGGAGTTAGCTGGAGGGCAGGAATTGCTGCTCGGGGACGGGCTATCAATCACTGGGTGGTGAGCAATTGTTGCATTATGCATCACTTGTTTTTGTATATTCCTCTATCAGTATTTTTTTCCTCTTTTTTTACTGTCCTATTATACTGTTTTCATCTCAATCTGCAAGGGTTTTTTTTCCCCAATTCTCTCCTTCATCCCACCTTGGTGGGGGGGAAGGCAAACAAGCAGCTGTGTGGTGCCTAGTTTCTGGCTGGAGCTAAACCATGACAACTTCCTCCACTTAGAATGTAATTTTATAAAGGATACATGGTATTCAATGTATATAATAAAGAATAAATCCCTGCTTTAAGAAGATAATCTAGCAGTCACTCTCCTTTACCTGTAAAATACATCCCAGACATACTACTTAATTAAAAAACGCATATATATACTGTCAGTTCAAACATCTTGTCAATAATATTGTAAGTGGCCCAATTCATATTGATTGAACTCAGTGTAATAGATGACAATCTCTGTGTTGTATAATCAGTAACTTCAAGTACAGTCCATACCTTTAGATGTAACATGTTCTCTGTGACCAAAATACACCACAAGCCATAAAAAAAAAATAATTAAATAACACTTAAGAAAGATTTACTTAAGAAAAGTCCTAGTGTCACTGGTATAACAGACGAAACAACACAGTATTATCATTACTTTCAAGTTATAAAGCCCCATGAGTGTTATAGAAATGGGAAATTAGCTTTTAGAAGGCTGCTTTCATTGGTGACCCTGCTTTTCTTTTGCAGGCAGTAGTAGCAGGACAGGGGATGGTGAGGGTGGTGGAGCAGGAAGGCACCAGAGTGATCTACCTCTTACCAGTCTGGACAGTTCCCTTGGAGTCAGGGGCTCAGAACTTGTTTCTCAGATGAGTATTAGCCACAGCCAATGACTCCTGCTATATATGGAGAGGAAGAGTGAGGGGGGAAAAAGAAGGTATTCAAAATGCGTGGGGATAGCAAAACACAGTAGCTAGAGTTATTTTGCTGTAGAACCTCGTAGAATCTTAGAACAATTTGTAATGGAAAAGACTTCTGGAAGTCTTTAGTCTAACTGCCTGCTCAGAGTAGGGCTAACTTCAGAGCTAACTCATGTTGCTCAGGGCCTTGTCCAGACAAGTCCTGAACATTTCTGAGAACAGGAATTCCCCAGCCTCTCTGGGCAGCTGTTCCAGTGCTGTGCATTTTATGTTCAGCTGAAATTTACCTTATAATAACTTGGGACTGTTAGCTCATCTTCTTTTACTATTTTCCCCTGAGAAGTGCCTGGCTCTGTTTTTATTGTAACTCCCCATTAGATACTGAAGACAGAGTTAGTTCCCACAGTAGTCCCCTCATGGTAGCTCCATCCTTCCCTATGCAACCCTTGATTGCATCCAAGCCTTTCATATGA